ACCTTATCTCAGGATCTGGATGGCGGACCCCACCCCACCCACCCCCCTTATCTGAAGGTCTGGGTCTGCCACTGGGGACCAACTCTAGGCGATGTTTTACCAAGGTATCAATTAAGAGAGAGTTGACTGTAAAAATGACTGTAAAAACTAGCTTTCACATTGTACTTTTGTACAGCTGTAGTACCTTACTCTCCCATTTCGCTGCCCTACTAGAAGCTTCCTCCTCAGCACTGATGTGATGTTTCAGTGATGATTCCACCTGTTGAAGACGATCTTGTTGATTCTGCATTTCTTTTTTTAATGAGGTTATGGTGATGTCGCTGCGATTTGCAAAGTTCTCCTTTTCAGCTGCTGAATCTTCAGCTTCTCGTATTCTTTCGCGCAGTGACTGCACCAGGGCTGATTGTCGTGCTGCATTCTGCTTGTTGCTTTCTATTTCACACTGCAATAACAGAAGGCAGGATTTGAGCATCAGAAAAATATGTACATTTATGTAAGAGAGGCAATGGGATTAATGTGTGTTAAAAAATGAAGAAATAGTGCAAGAATGGGTAGATTTAAAGGAATCACTTGAATGGGAAAACAGGGCTGTCATTTAAAGTGGATTTCTTCCAGCTAATATGAATGTGGCTCCCAGCTACTTTCAATAGAAAATAGAACCAAAATAGAACCAAAAGAAATACCTAGCTGTTTGATCCCCCCCTCGCCCCCCTCGCCCCGCCCCTACTTGTTGTATTTACCCAGCAACTTGAAATCTTAGTGATAACCCTGGAAAAGGGAAGAATAAGAATGGGAGAGGAAAGAAAACGGATCGACAGAGAAGAGTTCGCAGTTGGAAAAAAGAAGAGGACAAATTGTAAATCACAATTACATCTGGTATACATATTAGAGTTGGGCAAGGTCAAGTGTACCCTCATAGATTGCATTAATGAATCGATCATTTGAAAAATGCAACCATTAGTCACTCTTGCAACCAGTATCAAATTCAAATCTGCATTTCCTGCATAACCGTGTATTAAAATACAATTATGAGCAGTGAATTTTGTCTTAGTATTCAGTCTAACTGAAAAGCCTATGAATGGATAAAATTGCTTTGAAGACATTTGCATCAAATTGAAGACAACTGGCCTGACAGAAATTTAATAATTACCTCAGGTGTGAATTCATGATGCGATCATTATGCATGCAGGTATATAGAGATGTATCTGAAAATCTACAACTGCTAACAGGTCCAACTTTCAAATAATAAATTCATTAATTGGAAACTTGGGTGTATGCTCAACCTGTTTTGACTGAAAACAATTTATTGTTGTAAGGGTTACATCTGTAGATACAAAGAATACGATGTATCTGAACACACCTTAAATTCTATAATTTGCTGATCTTTTTCAGATATTCTGTGTTGGATGTCTCTTACCTATAAGAAAAAAATGTCACTGTCAGCTCTTTTTAGAAATTGTTTTTCTGATTACAACTGTAAAAGTGATGTCAACAAAATCAAGTACAATTCTTTAATTAAATATTACTCTTGGGGCAGATGGAAGGAAGGAATCAACTTAAAGAGGGGTTACGGCGTACAAAAAAAGTAGTGCCTCATAGCCTGGGGCTAATGGATTTTGCTATCAGGCTGGTGAAATCTATTCTTAACTTGCCCAACAAGCAAGTGAAGTTTTTGGGGAACTTCATGATCATTTTACAGAAGAACTGTAATCTATCCTGATCATTAAATTTTTGGGTGCTGTTTGAAATAATCTTCTAAGCTAGTACATGCTAACTACAGCTTGCCTGAATGACAAGCTGTAAAACTGACTTTCTTTGCATCCTGGGATGTGGTCAAAGTTTATGACCACAAACCTCCCTTCAAAACCTGCAATAAATTATGTGACAATTTTTAGGGGCAAACAGGATTAGTCACTGATGCAAACTTAAACAGGCCTTTTTACTTTCTTTTTTTTAGCCCCATCAAAATAAGGTGATATAATTTTGTTTTTATCACACCCTATCAGAAGGCCTTTTTAGCTGTGTTGGTGGTTCTCACCTCTTGTTGTAACCCGGATGAAACTACTTTTTCAGCTGCTAGATCTGTTTGCGCTGTTTCAGCAGTTTGCCTGTAATGTGACAGCTGTTTGAAAAAATGGTGACACAAAGTCTTTGTTAAAAATAGAGGTATTTCTAATTTAGGTATTAGAAAATATTTGGTTTCGCTGAAAAAAAAACACAGGTAAATTTGCCTCAAGAGATTCAGGAGTCAGCATTTCTTGGGGAATTTTCAAAAGCCAATTCCCTTTTCAGAGTTAATGCAAGTCATAACAAATGTATGTTGCAGTTAGAATGGATCTTGAAAAGGTCAGATTATTTATGCAGGGAAATGTAAAGATTTAAGTTATATTATTGTTATCAAAACAAGTAGCACCTAAGTGCTTAAGATACGTAATTCCTGCCAATATTATTATCGTTTATGTTCTGAGTAATAGCTGCCTTTATTTACCTGTGAACTAAGATGTTCTCTCTCCTGCTGAAGTCTTGAGATCTTATCCCTCAATAGCTGAGTTTCATCTAAAGATGAACCAAGTTCTAAAGAAATGGAGGGGCTGCGGCAGGACACAGCATTCACTTCAACCTATGATTATGATCAATAAATTATAATAAAATTACAATTAATCACAATAAATGAATAAGAGCAAGAACTGTGGTACACGGATTTGAATTCATCTTTTAGTGGCCTTCACATTCTAAGCAATCCAATTTGTGACGTCAACTTTTCCTACAGTATTATAACATTCGGGTACTCACTACTGTCTCATTGGCTACTAGCCTAGAGTTTATTTTGAAAATCAGCGGAACCTACAGGTAAGCTAACAGTGACAGACTAATATCTTTATATGTGTGTGCTATGCATGATTTTCAAGAGCAATGTCAAACTATGTTCTGTGCAGTGAGGGAGAAGTCATTTTCTTCGAAACAAAATGATATATAACAAAACAATAATCATTTAAGGGGTTATTGTGATTATGCCTAATAATCAAGGTCTCGAAGTGTATCAGCTGAAGGTGAAGTCAAAGGATGATACACTTACCACTTAATTGACCTTGACCTTGATTATTCTAGTCAATATCACAAAAACCTCATCCAATAATGTTATTAACAGCCAAAAACATTCCACATTGACAAACTTCCCACAAAGGGCATTTTTGCTCGTCCCAGTAGGTACATTAACCTCTTTACAATTACCAGTTTCCTTTGTCCCCAAGGTTGTCGTTGTGGAGAGCTAACATCCCTCCCCTGAAACAACCACCTTAATAAGTATAAGTGCATTTCTTGCATTCAAATACTGCATAGACCACTGTATCTCTAGGCTTCCACATGTATTGAGAGGTACCCATGTGGAAGGGCCCAGGGTGTTCTCTGGATTTCAAGTGACAGGGATGCATGATCGAAGGATTTTTTTGGATTGTGGGATTTTTTTGGAAGGAAAATTGGGCAATTATTCCTTTGGGTGGCTTGATTTAAGTAAAGATTTTTTTGGTTATTTATAACAATCTGAGGATTTATGGTAGTGCAAGCATATCCCAGCTGCATAGTTCTGAGGGTGAAGTACAACCCAAAAAAGTAAACATGTTATATCATTTAATGCTTTCTGGAAATCTTTAAGGCTTGGAAATTCGGCACAGGATTTTTTGGGGGTTAATTTTTGGTCCAGGGATTTGTTAGGGTTTTCTAAGTACGGAGGTAAGTTTGTAGGGACAGTGAACTTTAGGGGTCACGGGGAAGGGGGAACCACCCTCCCATACAGTGTACATCTTTCGTAAGTTTACAGACATTGAAAATTTTCGTTTTACTTACACACACTTTTGTATTCAACATAATCATGGATATAATACACACAGTTTCACAAAAACTGGGAGTTATCCTACAATTTTGTTAATTAGCCTTACATGTCAAATTCATCAGGCTGAGGTAAAAAGCACACTTGATGCTTAAACTAAAGAAAACAACTTTTAGAAATGTATAAACAACATCTCTTTACAATATTTGCATTATTTGGTTGCTATAGAACTTTCTCTGTTCAGGTTTAAATAATTAATTACATTATATTGTAGTTCAAGAGGATAGCAACTTCCTCACTGTTTATAAAAAGATGGGTTTAGAACAGGAAAGAATACCAGTTTTCAAAATGTTTTCCAGTTATTGGATATCTATACTAGCGTATCAAGGGCGCTGTGAATTGCATTAATATTTGATTTGTATTTAAAATATCATAGTAAAAAAATTAGACATGCTCTAAAGCTTGTGTTTCGTTCGCTTTTAAAAGGTTTTGCTTAGATGGAAAGAAATGTACAAAATAATTTAGTAACAGATTTATCCTCAGGCACAGCGTTACGTTTAAGCTTATTTTCAAAATATTATAAATTGAAGTTCTAAACTAGTAAATTTGTTTTGACTAATAAACAGCCATGGAAGATAAGATCTGTCATGTTTATTCCGTAGTTTTTTTTAAACTTTTTTTCCTCAGAACCGGTAGTTATATCATAAAATACGAAAAATAATCAAACCGTTTCTGGTTTTGAATGACTTGAGCTTATGTATTAGAAGTATCATTTGAGCGATTCTAATACCAGAGTTCGATTGCACTGTCTTCAAGGGCTACTGTGAAAAGATTTGACTAATTTTATACCTCATTTCGCCTTTGGACAGGTGAGCTTGTACGTGAACTACTTTGACTGCCAGATTTTCTTTGCCCTACAATCATCGGCGGAGAATTTCTGTAAAGTTGCCTCTCATTGCCGTGGTCCCTCCAAAGTTCTCGAACGTCCACTCCAGAATCTTCAAGATAAGTTAATTGAGAGCCCGGCTTGGCTTCTACTAGTCTTTGCTTTGGAATTTTGGGGAAATGATCTGATCTATCTGAATATAAAGATGCCATCACATTATAAGGATCGACCAAACAGCTGTGGATGTGTCGCACTCAGGGTCGCACTATTCCTCGGGTGTTCAACTTCATGAATGAAGTTCCAAAATGGCGGGCGCAATATTTAGCTCCTCTTTCTGTTGCGTGGCAACAAGAGACGCCAAGTGCAGCAAGCAGCCTCGATTCAAGAAACCTTAGCGGGTAGGAGAAAGGATTGTTGTGCGCGCGCGCGAAGCGAGAATGAACAGAAAATGCAAAAAGTAGAATTGACGATGAAAATTGATTTTTATTGCATTTTTTATGGACGAAGAGAAATATAATAGAATATAGGAAATGAAACAAGACAACAGAACTAGACATCACCTAAGCCTGTATTATGTATTACAGACATTTAGCAACATCCTTTTGAAGAAATGCCTTTGATCAACTCGTCCGGCTCTTTTACTCTGTTTCTATTGCCTTTTAGTTTCATTATATTTTTTCCAACAATGCTGAATAAAATCAGTCATCCTTCTTTTCAGATTTTTTCTCTCGTCTTGTTTTGTTGTATTTCCGAAATCTGATTGGTGGAAACTAATCAGTGTTTTTACATTCTCGCTTCTTATTGGCTAATTTTTCTCCGCCACTTGAACTTGAAGAGGGGACGCTTTATTACATCAACTGCAACCTACAGCCATCTTGGCTTTAAAACTCTGAAAGCACGCGTAGTGGACGGCTTGTTCATCAAGGACAAAGAAGATTAAAAGTTATACAGTAACTCCAAGCCTTGGTAAGTTCTATTTCTCCTTATGATTTCAAAATCTAGTGCAAAATTTAAATCTGGTCTCCTTCATTACACAGAATGCAATATGGAACACCCGACAAACGTTCCCGAACTTATGCAGTTCGTGCAAACGACACTTCAAAATATGCAAGAGAAGTTCCAAAGCGTTGAAGACTCGATCGTCAAAAGAATGACAGACACGGGCAAGAAACTGGACGAAATAGAAAAAGGTCTCACAGATTTGATGGACCATTCCGGGATGGGGGAACCGTACGAAGAAGACTTAGAATCCGACAAAGATTTCTCCGACACAGACAAGGGAAGATAATAATGCGGCATTAGTCCGTTGCTATAGAGGACTATAATGTAAACAGAGCGTCCAATTCGCACCTAGAGTAGGTTTAGCATCCGTTTTACTTATAGTGTAGATAGTTAAGTTATTTACTAATTCCTTCCTTATGAATCTTTCGTAGTTTCTACCAGTAATGAGAACCCATCAGCTTCCTCTATATATTTTAATAGACCACTGTCCAAATTTGCAATCACCTCGCTGTTCCATGACAAAATCACCAAAGAAGAGTTTTAATATATTCAGACTGTGGTTAGGGTAGATTTTTTCTGCATTTGATTTGTGTTTCCAAGTATTGTGAATTGTACTCACTGAATTTTATTTCGCTGGGGCTTTTAACAATAAAATAATGTTATTGAGTTTTACCAAAGAGTTTGGCTAAATTTATATACATACGGCAACCGTAACTCACCCGGCAAATATCTACTGACAGCAAGCATCTACTGCCAGGCCAAATGTGTGCCACCAGTTTGCTGCATTTTCAGATTTATCATTCAAAATGGATTTCAACGCCAAGAAATCTGTCCTCAAGATGGATTTCATGGATTTTTTTCTTTACTGTTTTATTGGGAAGCCTGAAAAGGGATTTGCAAACGGGTTTCCATGAAAAGTGGTCTTTTTCTGCTAATTATTAGGGATGTGCCTGCAAGACTGCTGTTTTTAGAACAGTTTGTCAAAGCCCCTGTTTTCCATATTTCCCAAAAACTGTGAAAAAAGAAAATCCAAGGACAGATTTCTTGCAGTTAAAACCCATTATCTGATTTCATGTTTTACTTTTAATTCTGGACATCAAAATGTAAATCTAGCTTGCCCAATCAAAAGCACCCTCTCTCATTACTTCCCATGTGTTGTGATTATCGGTAGATTGTGACATGTCGACCTGTCATAAGTTTTTAGAAGTGAGTGAAGTGAGCAAAACGAGCTTCAGCGAGATCACCAGAAAAAAATTAAGGACTTGTAGGAAGTCTAGATTATCAGTAGTTCATTCTTCTGCTTGCAACTCATAAATCCTTTAGGAACCCAGGGGCAGCTAAGAATGGAATGAGTAGAAACCCAGGCAGCTTAAAATGGAATGATGGAATTTTCCCGAGGAAACCTGGGACTCTGAAAATCTCATTTTCATCAACTGAAGTTGAGCAAGGGTGACGCACTGGTGAGAGCACTCGCCTGCCACTAATGTGGTGGCTGGAATCCTGGTGTTGATGCCATATGTGGGTTAAGTTTGTTGTTCGTTCTCTCCCTTGCTTCGAGAGGTTTTTTCCGGGTACTCCAGTTTTCCCCTCTCCTTAAAAATCAACACTTCCACATTCCAATTCAATCTGGAACGCACATTTCAACAAGTTCTTGAGAACTCATAATAAAATTACTCAGTGAGTAAACAAACTACAATGACAATACAAGTCACATGAGCACAGTCTGAGTTGGTTGAAATGGAAGTAGGCCAGTTGGTATTAACAAGATTATGGTTCAGCGCTGAATTTTTACACTCCCTTTTGTCATAAGCACATGGCAATAAACCTTCCACTGCTGACCCAAACAAGTCACCAAATAAGTGATTATAAAGAGTCAAGACTTGAGATGGGTAAAAAACATCTTATTCTTTTAGCTGTCCACACTAAGCTACAGTGACTAGAGAAATATAGACTTTCTTTGCCTGTTTACACACTCCTAAGCTAAAACAACCATCAACACCCATTCTTAGAACAACAACTTTGTTTGTATCCAGCAATTTGTTTATTTATTGATTACAACACATAAACAGAAAAAGAGTAATGTTTGACCTGAGACAATGGGAATTACTATTAACATCCTTCAGGCAGTGAATGTCATTTTGTGTTCGGGATCACCAAGGGAAGTTTAATTTTATATATTTAAAATATATTATATAAAAGGCCAAGTAATTGAGTTCCAGCTCAAAAGCTGAGTTTCTAATAAATGACAAATACTCTTTGGTAATTGCTATTTTTTGATAGATGAAAACTGCATCACACAAAATAAAAGTAATATAAGCCAATTTGGAAAAGGTGATAGCTATAATGGTCTCACAAGCACTTTTGAGGGTGGGTGGCTGGGGGGAGGGGGGGAGGGGTAATTTGCAAAAGCCAAGGTCAGTGAATTCACAACTAAAACATTATAATTTCCAAATTGCATAACAAAAAAAGTAAATAGTAAAAAAGTTAAATGTTAGACTACGAGTAGTCCCCCATTTTTCCTCAGGGATAGTAGAGCAAGCGAAACGCGAGCACGCGTGGAAATCATCCCACGCGAGAAAAGGCAACACGCGGCCTGGAGAGAGAACTCTCCCCACCACATATGCCTTTTCTCGCATGGGATGATTTTCACGTGCGCTCGCATTTCGCTCGCTTTACTCTCCCTGAGGAAAAATGCGGGACTACTCGTAGTCTAGTTAAATGTCTGTGTTACTGGCTGATCTTTATTGAGTTCAGGCTCTGCAGGCATTATTGCTGCCTAATTGCTGGGAAGACAAACCCAAGGAATTAAAGAAACATAAAACTTGTTAAGTCTCCTACCCTCCCCCTCTGAAAAGACCCCACAAGGATTTGCAAATGCATTCCTCTCTAGTTCCCAGGCTATCAATCTTTTCCAAAGTTATGCATTGATTGCACAAAAAATGTGTCATTTCCTCATTAGCCAGAGTCATGCTATACATCTTATGTCAGCAGAAATCTAACAACCAAAACTCTGTTTCAAGGCCTTTCCTATTTGCTTCACACAATGTTCAATGTCATCAGGTTCATTATAAGAAAAACTCAGTCTTATGCAATTTTTAAATTTTCCTGGGGTGGCACAAAAGCGTGATCCATAGTTGAACTCGATAAGATATTCGTTTTTGCAAACATCAAACAGTTTGTCACAATCAATTTCTTGGGGGAAGGTTACCCACACAAAATAACCCCCAATTGGCTTCTGATAAGAAAACTGTCCAGGCAGGTACTTGTCAAGGGCATTGCACAATGCATCAAGCTGGCGAGAATAGACTTTGCGCACCATGAACAAGTGCTCTTTCAACAAACCCTCTTGTATTGCGACAGAAACAACACATGCCATGTACTGATTAAAGCATCCTCCACTCAAAGCATAAGCACTAGTTTTCAACACTTTTCGAACTCTTTCTGGTGCTTCTATCCAACCAAGACGCAACCCTGGCCCAAGTATCTTGGAGAATGAGCCATTAGAGATGACATTCCCTTTGTAATCAGCATCAGATTTTTTGTCAAAAGAAAAAAGCCTTTGTGGTGGTGTTGTACACTCATTGAGTAACAGCAAATTGTAGACATCATCACACAGTGCAAGAACGTTGTGCTTACGAAGCAGCATAATCAACTTCTGGCATCGCTCTGCAGGAAGATAGGATCCAGTTGGGTTATTGAATGTAGGGACAATATACAACATTGCACAGTAAGGCTTTTTCTCCTTTGGAAGCCTCAGGTCATTAGAATGTTCAATCAAGAGCTTTTCTAGCTCATCAACAATCATTCCATCTTTATCAGATGGGACCCCAATGACTTTCATTCCTAGATCATCCCTCAAGGCCCTCAAACCAATAAAATAAGCTGGCTCCTCCACAAAAACTACGTCCCCAGGCTGAAAAAGAGTGTGTCCTATGAAATCTAGACCTTGTGAGGCTCCAGCACTAGCCCACAGATCTTCTTGATCTACAGCATCAGCATAATGCTCGCTGAGGAATTTGGCCAGCTCCATGCGGAATGCCATGGGGCCTTCTTCCATACCATACTGGAGTGCATTTGGACAATGCTCCGATTTGTGAAGAGAGATGGTTGCCTTCTGGATGAGTTCAGCTGCCTTCTGAAGAAGATAACTGCTTGGCCCTCCAACACTCAGGCTGTAAATTTTCTTAGGTCCACTTTCCAGATGTGAAAAGGCTGTTGTAAAGATGTTCATCCTAAGAGAGATGCTATAGTAAAAAAATTAAAATTAAAAAAGCAAATGTCTCATTCATTCATGATATATAGAGTAAGTACAGTTTATGGGCAGATTTAGGGGTGGGCCGAGGGGGCCATGTACACCCCTATTCCTCTGAAATTTTGTATCATTTTTATAGAATTCTGTCTCAGAACAATAAAAAGTATCTAGAATAGAGCTGCATGTTAAGTGTCCCAACCACCGCTTTCTGAATTTTCTGGATCCAGCTCCGCCCCTGCAGTATGTTTGTTAATCATTATCAAAGGTGTAGTAACTCAGTAGCTTTGAGAAATACCTTACCTGCACTTTTCTGCTAATATTTTCCAGTTTCTTTAATAGCAAAAATTATCAAATTATGGGGATACCAACTATAACGATCTCCATCAAAAGACAGCAATGCAGTCCATCTTGTCCATTTTGCTGGCGTGAGGAAAAGGTGTTCTTGTTGTCACTTATGACTTCGTGGCGAGGTAAGGCAACACAGATGCAACCCTGATCCGGGGAGGGGGAAGAGGGGAGTGTCAAAAATTGCACTGTACTTATTATGTTCCTTTCCCCTCCAAAAAAATGCGAGGAAAAACAATTTGATATATTCCCCGAAATCAATGTTTCCTTTTTATACTCGACAAACTCAACAGTCTCTCTGTTCCCTGAAAGCTAAATGTTGTCCCCATGCGCCGGCCATGTGCACCCAATACAATTTTGTTTAAGTTCCTCTTAGCACCAATTCAGAGCAACACACTGCGCCAAAGGGGCTCGACCTGAAATAGTTAACTCAACTCCATATTCCATGTGCCATTTCCTACCTTATAATTACGATCCTCAGCTGGTAGACCCGTTGTAAAAGTAAAGTTATATGGAAACCCTAATATCAACAATTTTTGTAAGGCGTCCGTTTGACCGAGTAATAGTTTTGCCAGGGCGGGACCTGGATAGGTTTTCTTAAAACTTAGTACCGAGTCTTTTTGGGCCAGACGTAAGGGGCCGGATTGGGGATGAAAGATAGACTGAGAGAAATACAATACTTTAATTTTCTAAGACAAGGAATGTTCAGATATATAACTTTCTCGGCCGTAGCCTTTTCACAGACCCTCTTTTTTTCTCTTCAAAGTAAGTGGAGCGTGCAAATTCAGAGTTTCTTTGTTCGCGGTTTTACTTTACTGCACACGGAGGAGTGGTCCATATCGCAGTCAGCACCCTGATAACCGCGTGTGATCTTGATGCTTCGCTGAAGGGTGGTGCATCTGGTGAGGATCGATCAGGTCAAGCTGATGCCAGTGCTTAGATCTTGGGTGTCTCCAGGAGATTCAGCCAATGTCGCCAATTAATTACTCAATATCTACTTACTTATTCATTAATCTTTTGTGTGTTTTTCTTCATCGATTTAGCCTTTGTAGTCCGTGGCGGCTCAACAATTATTCAACCTTAATTATAACTATATTCTTTACAAAATGTAACACAGTTCTCCAGTGATTGTTAAATTAGCGGTCCAGTATAAGCAACATTCATATACCACCACAAGTGTGCACATCTTTTGATCTTCTTCCTTTTTTATTTCTTCCGTTAATCCCACAACGTGTGTGGCCGAGAGGCTAATACCTCGAACTCCAAATCTGGAATCTGAAAGTCAAGGGTTCAAGCCTCGCCCGTCATGTTGTTTCCTTAGACAAGGAACTTTACTCTACTTTGTCTCTCACTGGTCTCTGTTCACTCAGGTGTATAAAGATGGACTATCATCCCGTCCAGGGGGGAGTATCAATACTCCTAGGCATGCTTCATGCTAAGGAAACCGGATAAGCTTTGGCCGTTTAGGCCTTTGGCTTGTGTGCACCTTTACCTATTATCTCTAAGAATTTGCCTTAAAAAAAGAGGACACGTTTCTTCTATCTCATGCTTCAGGGAAAATCCATTATCCCGCCAGCTACACAGGCAATTAAAATGTTGATAGAAACCTTTCTATTTGACACAAGTTGCGCACATTTTCCTCCACAACATGTGTCTATTTTTCCGTACCACTTTTTCTTTGCTACTGCCACTGGTTCTCCGAATTTGAGAAGAAGATGGATGATAGAATTGTAGAACCCTAATGGGGGCCCTCCGGGTACTAGAATCTCGTTTTGTGGGCGTGAGTCAAATCTCTCAAACGAGAAACAAAGAATTATTAACCGCCATATACTTAAGATTCTTATAGATCATGAAAATGACGTCATAAAATGTTCAAAACTCAAGTGGAACCACGAGCCGCAGGCGAGTGGTTTCACTGCAAAGTTTTGAACATTTTATGGTGTCATTTCTATGGTCTATGAGATTGTAGATCATAGAAAATCAGTGTGATCAATTTGTTTTTTACAATAACATTTTTTTTTTACGAAAAACCAAAAACAACCAGCACTACGTAACATGCTACGTCATTTCCATGGTCTATACTCTCATAGACCATAGCTCTCGACCAATCAGCGTGCAAGGATTCGCTCAGTTATTGCTAAGTTAGTTTGAGAAAGGTTGTTGGAAAAAGTGTGCATGCAACAATCCCTGTAGGTAATATAGGATATGATCAATACACTGTTCCTGACAACATATCTGTCGAACCTGCTTTTTTTGCTCCCCTTTAGCACTCACAAACATATATCCATGGCCTCTCGTGCTTTCAATTTTCTTTGAAGAACAGTGAACTCAAAACCACCCAAAACCTTTCGGGATTGTCGTGTACACTTTTCTTGAAATAGCTATAATTATATATTCTACGTATTTCTTGACATACATTGTGCAGTTTTGTATTTTAGGTGGGATAAATTCCACAAAGTATTTTATTCAACTTTACCTTTTCCAAGAATATTATTATCAATATTATTTTTGTAAAAGTGACTACATAATTATGTTACCCCTTCATTTTCTTTCATACCCTAAAATATTGCATAATATCATGAAGACTTGATTCTTACCATTCACAGCAATTTTGCTATCAAATTAAATAAATGAAATTCATCCGAGTTTCCCACCAGTCATTTTTTCAAAAAATGCCAGTGTATTTCAAACATGTTTTATAATTCAAAGGGTACATCTCAAAAACTATGATATTAAAAGTTATATAAAGAAATCTTTCAAGACAAACTAAAAGAAGAACTCTCAATCTGTTGCACCTGTTACTATTGAGACAAATCAATCAATAAATGGAAACAAACAAAAATAAAACAAACCTATTTTGTTTCAAGATGGTGGATAAGAGTTAAAATCACTGTTCTGACAGCAAGTAAAATAATCCAAAATTAATATGTACACCCAGTTAAACTATTATTGCTATCCAATGTTGATTAAATGGAACCACATAATGCACTGATCATTAACTTCAATTTCAAAAATTTCAAAATAAGTACTAATCTGTCAAGTCTTTTCTTTTCCTGGAAAATAATCCACAGTAACTTCTGATAAATTGCTTAATTCTCCTTCCAAAATGTCCCAAGTTAAAATGAGGAACACAAGGGAAATCTTGTGAGGAAATGTAGTAGGAAAGGGTAAAAAAAAAACATGTTCTAACTTCATTTTACGGGAGAAGCTCGAGAATCTTACACAAGCAATGATATAAGAAACTTAAGCTGAGATCAGAAGTCACTTTTGGTTTAAGATTCAATGTTAGAAAAACCCTCCTTAAATAAGCACTAGGGTCAAATAAATCCCACAACTTGGACAATCTTATAAAGGTTAGCCAATAGCACAAGATAATCATAAGTACTGTCAGAAACTTTTGAACTTATCTCAAATCTTGAATTGAGCCTTTGTGGTAAATCTTGATGGCTTATTTTTTGCTGTTTCTTTCAGTGTTTGTGTTGTTTTTTTTATGTGCTACTTTGTAAATACCAGTGAGTAAGGAAGTGTTTATCAGCTTAATATTTCTTTTATTGCTGAAGCTATTTGCTTTACACAGTGATCAATCACAGGACAATCATGAAACGCAAAGGTGAGTCGCATGCAATTCTTAAACTGACCTGAGGAAGAAAAACCAGAGCCTTTGCCAAAGTCAACATTGTACTTTTCAAAACAGATGTCATACAACTTATCACAGTCAACTTCAGAAGGAAGAACCACCCAAACAAAAAAGCCTCCAAGTGGTTTCTTATACGTATAGGGACAAGGAAGGTACTTTTCAAGAGCACTACATAGAGTGTTTAATTGGTTACAATAAGCCTTTCGTACGAAGGTCAAATGCTCTTTCATAAGACCCATTTGTAATGCCATTGCAACAATGCAGGAGGTGTAGTGATTAACACACCCTCCACTCCTGGCATAGCCACTTGACTGTAAAATCTTTCGCACTTTTTCAGGAGCTTCCATCCAACCCAGACGCAAGCCAGGGCCCAGCAGTTTGGAAAATGACCCATTGGAGATAACATTACCCTTGTAATCTGGATCAGATTTGTCGTCAAACGAAAAGAGCCTTCGTGGAGGTTCATCAAGAGAATAGGACAATAAGTTGTACACATCATCACACAAAGCAAGCAGGTTGTATTTACGCAACAGTTGAACAAGCTTTTTACACCGTTCTTCTGGCAGAATGGAACCGGTAGGGTTGTTGAAAGTTGGAATGCAGTAGAGGAAGCCAGAGAAAGGTTTTCTTTCTTTTGATGGTCTCATCTGATGACTATACTCTGACAAAAGCTTTTCAAACTCATCAACTATCATTCCATCTTGATCACTTGGAATACCAACCACATTCATGCTAAGATCATTCTTTAGGACTAATTGAGCAATATGATATGTGGGTTCTTCCACAAATACTACATCACCAGGCTGAAACAGGAGGTTTCCAATACATTGTACACCTTGCGTTGCACCAGCATTGATCCAAATATCCTCACTGTCCACTCTAGTATTATACTCCTGACTGAGAAACTTTGCAAGTTCAGTTTTGAAAGCTGATGAACCACCATGGGGGCCATACTGGAACATATTTGCATAATTTTCTTTCCTATGAACTTCCATTGCTGCTTTTTGCATGAGGTCACCACACCTGAGACGTAGATCAGCACTGGGTGATCCCACACGTAGAGTGGACATGTTCTTGTCATGCATGCTGAGGTAGTCAAACATTGTCGTCATTTTGAAGGTACTGTAGGGTATCTGATAACTAAATAAAATAAGCGTTCCATGTCAGTACCTTCTTTATTCAATGCTTTGCTTCTGATCACCCTCTTTTATTTAATAATATAATGATAATAGTAAAATAGTAACAATAGCAATAACAATAACAATAATTATTAATAATAATTAATACTACTATTAAAAATAATTATAATTAATAAATATATTTATTCTGCAGTAGTCGATCATGTGGCCTGTACTATAAAGTATTGCTGGTATAAACTCATGTGCAGCAAACTATATACATATACATCTACCTAAAAACATGAGAAAATCTAGCCTGAGGAAGCAGCCATATGAAATGACATTAGCAACTTATAAAATACTTTGTTGCATGTTTGGGGCAATTGACTGATGCTTGTCAATCATCTGTCATACAACTAGGCTACATACCTCCGGATTAGTCAGGAATCTGAATAATTTAGTTACTGGGTTCATTTTGTCATTTTTAAGCAGATGCAGTGCATGAATCCGAATTGAAAAGGTGCCGATTTGGTCAAGTCTCTATAGATTTTGAATCTGAAATCTTAAGTGAATCCAATACCTTGTAAATTTGCAATGTTTTGTAGTGTAAACAATTTGTCCATTACTTATCTAGATAATTCTCCGCATTTCATCATATGAGTTTGCGGTAAAACAAAAATGGAACTGTCACCTTCATGAATATATGACGCCATAGCAATTCAACGAAAACGTCCCTAGCTACGAAAATGAATGCATGTTTCTTTTTTAACTTTTCCCCATTTATTTCCGTGAACTCTCTTAAAATGGCAAATATAGGTGAACTTTCCTACAGAGTATTGGGAATCATACCCAATTTGTTGTTTTTCATTTACTTATTGGGCGCATTGCCTCTTGCCATCACCATTGCCTTCGTCATTGCTCTCAGAATTAATCCATGTGCGTAAACAGTTAGGATTCCGAACATGTTTTTAGTAAAAACACCTGCCATCATATGTTATTCAAGATTTGGTCCATTAATGTCAATTACTTTGTTTCTCTGGAAACCGACATTTGGGTGGCGAGGATGAAAAAAGCCTGTCTTTTGATTTAGAAAAAAATATTCGAAAGAAACAACCGGAGTTGAATGAATTGAGGCAAACTGTGCTCTTACAATAATTTATCTTTAGATACTTTGCTTGCTTTTTAGAATTAACTTTTTATTTTTTATTATTTAATCATTACTACTTTTTTCTTATTTTTAATTTATTTTTGTGCACGACTTTTTCAGGTACGCACATGCGTACCGTGTGTACAGGTAGCTACGCCCCTCAATGTGGAATGGGCACTAAAGTGTTTTTGGCACTATGCTGTTTTCTCTGGCATATAACC